AGTCTACTTTCAGTCTGCGTATGAGACGAGAGACAAAATGTCCTTGTTTTGAACAAAAATGCTGTTCAGCTCAGCTGCAGCTAACATGAGTTAATCAAATCAAGTGGAAGTCATTCAAAATTGAAGTCTTTTAATTGGGAAATCCCCTCTTTGTGTTACTGTCCCTCTACCACTGCACAGCAAGAAAATCTAAAACAAAAATACTAGAAAGGCTGTAACTTTGGAAGACCCCCATTCAGTTAGACTAACTATGACTGTTGAGGCCTTTTTGTAGCTTTGTCTGCACTTTAGAATCCGTAATTACAACGTGGACTGTAGATTCTGTCCCCCATCACTCACATTAGAGTGAGATCTCTTCCCAGTACAGAGAGGAGGTCTGGTTACACTGACCAATGTTCATATAGCAAATGTAAGCCTGTCCCTTAATCTGATCTCTTCTTAAATTCAGACTGAAAAGTCATTAAACCCCATAATGAATGCAGACAGCCAGCAGTAGGACAATGCTGCATGTTTGTACATATTGTCCCCCAAGGATGGACAAACACTGACTCTGTGAGAAAAGAGAAAAACCTTCTTGACCTGATTTCAAACTTCTCAGCCCTACAAGTAAACATCAGAACTACTGATTTAACACCACTCAGCAGGTCAGAGAGCTGTGACAAGAAAGTGGAGGCCTATTGTGAAGAGAGCTGAGTTGATGGCAAGAGATACCTAAACCTAATCCAATCAATAAAACATCAATGGATCTGCAGCTTTCATTCACAGTCCATGCTGTATCCACTGACAGGCTGAGCAGTTAATACAGACCTACAGTACCCACAGTGACAATGACAGCAGTCTCTGGTAGGGTCATGTTATAATGTGAGAGGGACACAACCATTTAAATGGTCCATATTCACATATTAACCCTGCAAGGCTTTCATCAGTGCTCCTTTGTAGGATATAAAGAGAGAAACACACAGACAAGAGACAGAAACAGAGGATCAAAGCAACAAAGTCAGAAAACAGCCAGTGAGATGATCACTTTGGAGAATGAAGGGATGAATGCACTCATTCAAACACCAACCTGCTGCCTGGCATTGGAGACAACTCACAACACCAACAACTAACTAACTGTGGTTTTAGTATGTTGTTATGTTTAATCTGACCTACATTGCTACTGAGTGGTTATCAAGCCCCCAGAAAGAGCACCTGGCTTTAAAGCCAATTTGACATAGTGGCTGCTCCAAAACAGTGGATACAGGATTTGCATGTCCCAACCCCCTTTCACTATTAGAATTTGATCAATTTGGTTCGATAACGTTTGGAAAGTCGGAGGGCTATACTCACTCTGTGGGCCGCACAATGTGGAAGATCTGGCTAATTTTATACCAAGAAGTCGAACCTTTTTTGGCTTCATATGCCACTGAGCAGCTTCCACAGGAATGAACAGAGCCCAGTCTCCTGCGCTGTATCCAGTTCTCCTTAAAGAACCAGCGCTTAGGATTTAGTGGCAGTCAAGTTACAGATTGCAACCAACTGAATACAGCTCGCCTTCCAAGTATGTAGGAAAAACTATGGCCGTGAAAAACGCAAAAGGCCCTATCCACAGCCAGTGTTTGGTTTGTCCCTCCTGGGCTACTGTAGAAACATAGAAGCGGACTCCATAGAAGAGGACCCGCTCCCTGTGTAGATTAAAACAGCTCATTCTAAGTCAACAAAACACAATGATTCTTATATTAAGGTGATTATACACTAATAAAAACATACCTATGAAAATGATATTCTGCCAATAGATCATCCTAAATATTACACGCTGGATCTTGAATACTACCAAAACCTACATCTGATATGATTTTCCAAGCCAAAGCCTTGTCACAATAATGACTCTGAGTGCAGCAGCTTCCTGCGCCGCCTTTGATCATAGAGAACCAAGGACATGAATAAAATACAAATAAAACTAATAAAACCTAATCTGCTCAGTAGTGTGCTGGTTTGTTGTGCAGGAGTTCTTCTCCTTCTGAAGCTTGTTTAGAGCCTGCCTGCTGCTGCCATATTGACTTGTTTTCCATGAGGAAACTCCAAACTGTTGGATCAATGAGAATCTTGTGTGTTTGCTAATACGCAGGAGGTAGCTGCTTCTCTCAAAGGTCGCTGAGGACAAAACACTTTAGTAATATGAATGAAAACTGGAGAACATGGAGAGGTTGAAGCTGTTTTTAAGGTGAAACCTGAGCACTTCCTTCAAAAAATGCCTTTTACGTATATGCTTGTTTGTGTGTCCTTAAATCTCCATAATTCACAATCCACCACACCCACTCAGCAAAAAGCACCCTGGGGTGTTGCAATCATGTCTGTTGAAAGCGTTTAGTTTCCCAGCAGCTCAGAGCTACTCAGGGTGTCGTCATGCAAGGTCGTCTCATTAACACCCCATTCAAACTCTGTTTTAATCCAAAGAGCCCAGAATGAGGCTGTTTTGTGAAACAGAGGGAGCAAACAGGACTGTTAGTGCTTACGGTGAGCTATATGCAGCTTCTTTGCATGACATGTGTTTGTGTTAGCAGCAGCAGTAAAAGTAATAGTACTAGTATTAGTAATAAACAACTACAGTGTCTTATATGATCAACCAAATTACATGTCATTTATCTCTAGTTTAAAGGATTCACCTGATGAAGTGTTATAACATTAAAATAAGCCCCACTGGTGCTGGAAGAACTCTGATCCATCCTTTACTTAAAGGGGGACTCAGCTTTACACATTTCTGTGTTTTTGCCGGTGCTGGGGAGTATGTGAGTAAGTGAAGCTCCAGAAGGAGCTGCACAAAATCTGATAAACTGCCTCTAGCAATGTCACTTGAGTCAGTGTGCAGTGCTTAATTGAGGGTGCACTATAAGTACCAGTGCAACAATGTAAAACTTCCCATATTTAACATTCTGATAATATATAAGTGTTATCAGCTAAACGTACTTAAAGTATCAAAAGTAAAAGTATTTGTTTTGCAGTAAAATGTCTACTGACACCTGAAATATGACAAGAGACCCCTGATAGATATTTTTTGTAGGGGGTCATAAGCCAAAAATATTGGGATTGGGCTCTTTGACAGTGACGTATATTTTACTATAGGCTTTTAGGTAAAATCTACTATTAATACTATAATTACTTTCACCACTAACGGTGTCAAACAATTCTGCAGCCTCCCCCATCCAAACTAATCCATAACCTCCCCTCCTGTGTTAAATATGACCATGGAGCTGACTCACCTGGTCCTTTGCACAGGTAGGAGTAAAAGCCCTCAGACTTGAGCATGATGAGCAGGGATCCCCATCCCAGCAGCACGGCAGAGAAAAGCAGGTTCTCAATGACCGCCGTCACCGCCATCCACCAGCGGCGGGAGAACGCTGTGGCCAGGGTTGGAGCCATCTCAGCGGGGTCGGAGGTAGCACTTCACTGGCCTGACCGGAGGTGAGCGAGGCTGCAGGAGCCTGGAAGACAAGGATGTTGAGAAGATGGTCGTTATATTTAGGATTCTTCTGGGGTTAAATATTCAAAAACACAGAAAGAACTATGTCAGATAATATGTGATGCATTATTACTGGGAACTTTAACTATTACAGATCCAAACAAATGGTCTGTATCTTTCCAGCAATATTGTATTGTTGTTTACTTACATGTACATAATAGTTATATGCTTATGTTTATAGATCTTTATGTCATTGTTTTTGGCTGTATATCTATTCATATGTGTGTGTTAGTACATTAAGGGCAACTTCCTTCTTTGTGTACATATACTTGACCAATAAGGCTGATTCTGATTCTGTGCTGCTTAATTTCACAGGAGCGTGATTTGGATGACTCTCTGGGTCTGGACCATATACATTTCTTTGTTCTTGCCTGATGGAGATGATGATGGTGGAACAGAGGAAGACTCTCAAACAGAAAACAGCTGAAGCCTTTGAGGTTTTAAACCCCTCCTTTAAATCTTAAACACTCCCGCCCCTTGACATATATGATTGGCTTGAGGGTTTAACAGGTCTTCTCCTATTGGCTGCCAGTGACATAGTTTGTGCAGCAGCTACACGTGAGGTTGATGTTGCGTTCAGTCCCTGTGGGGGGAGACTACACTGGGGTCTTTATTGCCAGGAAATGTGCCTTCTGCTCAGTTTCTTACATTAAAATGTACATTTAGAGGCTTTGAGTTTGATGCTAGAACACAACTGCCAAATTCATCAACTACAGCATCCTAAATTTCGCCGTCAACAATTCACAGATAAAAAAAATACCTGTAGCCTACCTTAATGTGGTTGTAAAAACATCGACAGGACTCGACTATGTGCTGGAGTTTCTTTGTTTCTATAAAAACTTAAACAGAGATGTTGCACTGTTTGAGTGGGTGGGTGTGACAAAGCTACTTTGGTGGTAAACAAGAGTGTGTTTACAGGAAACTGCACTGCTCCTGAATGCAGCGCGAGCTCCAGCCGGTTCGAACCAGTGCGGCGCGAGACTCGGTCCCGTTTCTCGCGCTGCTGTGTACAGGTTTATATCTATGACTAATATCTAATATCTAATATATAATATATAATATCTAATATTTATATCTTATATCTTATATCTT